CACCACTCTCAAAGCTAGCAAGTAGACTACTAAGCTCACTTCGCCCTCGCGAATCATACCCCTGTGGCATAACACTACCAACCCGGTCTCCCAAGAAATGGAACCACTAAGCCGTACTAAAGGTCAACTTAGTGCCCAGTGCACTCTGCAAACTCTGCCACAACCTGGCAGTAAAACGAGGATCTCTATCTGAGACGATCGTCACTGGGACCCCGTGCAATCTCACTACGTCCCCAATATACAGATCGGCAAGATGATTTACCGACTCTCTCACGCGCATAGGAATTACACATAAGCCCCAAACTTTCACAAAATTACCAAACCAAGCCCAACATCTCAAAATACCAAAATTTAAAGACAAAACCCATAGAGAGGAGTAGGTTATCCCTACCTCAAATTCGGAGTCCCAAAGGAGAAGACGACAAAACCCAACGTGCTCCAAAACCCGAGATTTTCAGATTAAAATGTAGCCCTCGACGATCAACAACTTTTTTGTAAAGGCCAAAGGTGAGTAAATCACTCCTACTAGATCAAAACCTAGAGAGAAGGTAGAGTCTAGAGTGAGAGGCTCAACAATGGTGATTTTGGAAAAGTAAGAGAGAGAAGAGAAAGTGAAAAAGTGATTTGAAAAGTCACAATTTCGGGACTTTAACCCAGGTCTCCGCTCGAGCGTAAAACACCCCGCTCGAGCGGCCACTCACAGACTTCCGCTCGAGCGGCCAACCTCCCGCTCGAGCGCAGAATGCACTCGCTCAGCACTTTTGCAGAGCCAGACCTCCGCTCGAGCTCCCAACCCTACGCTCGAGCGTACAACACTGCACAACAAATACTGGATGGGTGTATTCCCCGCTCGAGCGCCAACATCTCCGCTCGAGCGTACAGGCCAAAAATCTGGGCAACTAGTTTTGGTTTCTAAACTCAACCAACCTGAAACAAACCTACCCAACACATCCTATAACTCAATTATGAAGTAAAAAGGATGCAAACAAAATAATAAACAACTACCAACATCCACGGACACATGTCCGGATCACTATATAACAAGGGTAAACCCGGGATCGCTATATGATGTGAGATCTCGTTTCACAAGTAGTTGAGAGATATATAACAATAAACCAATAACAAACCTAAGGAAAGAAATAAGAAGTCGAGGGAAACATGAATTTCAAAATAGCCGTTGTTATCTATGCAAATGCAAGATTGTTGGCATGACATATTACCTACAAGGCGCGGACACTCCATTTTAGTTGTCATATTTGTGCTCGACACATGTTAAACAATAGCATGCCTTGGATACAACAAGACACCATGCCGAGCACGTCACATGATGTGTCAATTTTTTCTATTTTCTTATTGGACCACGTTGGGGAATACATCAAGAATACACGTGTCTGGACATGCCATAAGACATGTTTGGGGCTTTATTATAGTTTTAGAAAGGTGGGTTTGGTGATCAACGTATATCTCCTTGAAAAAATCAGCTGTCCCTCTCATTGTGCTATTGTTTCTATTATCTGCTTTTATTTACATTGATTATGTAGAATATTTTGTGTAGACTTGATAAATATTTAGACCGTATCATTACTTCCTAATATGTATTTTTTATAGATGGTCTATTCATTATTGAACATAAATGTTTTGGATAACGGTGATGTAATGGTTTGCATTTGATGAAATAGTATTTTGTAATCGAAAGACGTCTAAATTATAAATTGAATGGTTCTTTCATATTGAATTTGTGTTAGTTTTTCATTTGGTTGTTTGTGGACATAAATTAACAGATAAAATTTACATGATTTATTTTTGTATCTCCATCTTGTCTGTATCCGTATCCATGCTCATGGTTCTAATTTGGCTATTCTGTTTCTTGAATTTTAATGGGGGCCCAACTTATGATCAAGACAAAGCATGTAATGAGCCTTGTTCATATACTTGCACTCATTTCTCATCTACATAAACTTAGCTAGTGTGCATACAAACGAACTTGGTATTAGTGCCAAACTTTTTCTAGAAAAATGAGTGTCCAAGAATGAATCCTGACGTTGCTAACATCTATCAGATTCACATTTACCAAATTCTGGTTACTAATTCCTAATTGTCAATGTACAAGTGGATGCGGACCATCATAATCATGGGATTATTTGATGGAATATCAAAACAAGTGAAATTTTTAAAAAAGCTTTAACCATTTGATAAACCACTTTTTCAAGAATAATATTCATGATTCACC